AACAAACAAACCCCACTGCAGGGGGTTGATTGTGATTTCCAGCAACCTATGGGACTGAGCATGGTCTTTGAGAAGGAGCCCTGGTGGCTCACTGGTTAAGCACTGGGCTTCTAACTGAGCTGGGAGGGGTTGGGACACTGCAGCTGGGACACGGGAGAAGGATGTGGCAGCCTATTTCCAGACAGACTTCAGCTCTGGAAACCTCCTGGGGCAGTTCTACTCTGCCCTACCGCGTCTCTGTGAACAAAGCAGTCTTTCTTTCTTTGGGGATCAACTAGTGGGCTTAAACCCCACTTCTAGATAATAGTTAGATGCTTCGCCCCTGCACCACCAGTGGCCTAGGAAAGATAGTGCATATGGATAAATACAAAAGCTGTTCGTGGACTTAAATTTTCCTTTTGTTTAGTTCTGCGTTTCCACATTTTACTCGACATGTGCTGTGTTGGAACGGGTGGGAGTCATCAAATTAGAGGTTCTGGAGGGATTCATTGACTCAGTAAACTTGTTGTTTTGCTACTTATTTATTCATTCCACAAACATTTATTGAGTGGCTACCTTCAGCCGGGTGTTGTGCAAGGTTCAGGGAAAACACAGTTGAGTGTATTATTTTTTTTCGAACTCTTTTTTGATGCCTGTTTCTTCAGCTGCTAATTTGCCCCTCCGGCTTTCCGAGGCATGCAGTCTAACTGACACTTGGACAGCAGTGGGAAGGGCGCCAGCGGCCGGGAGGGACGGACGCGCTTGTCGAAAGCTCTTGTGAGTTACTTCTTGCTGCACATGTGCAGCCCAGGAGTCCTCCGTGGCATGCGAAATGCGTTTGTGCAGAAGGGCAGAAATTCCTCCTGTGTTTTGTTGCTTTCTTGGCTGGTCTTTGGGCCTTCTTTCTCAGAAATGGCCCTCCACAATCTACGTGGCCCCCTGGAAAAAAGGACCTATGTCACACACTCTTGTCCCCCATTCATGTGGATTCATGGCCAGTTTCAGCTATGCACTGCTTTAGAGTCAGGGTGCACCTGAGGCCAAGGATCAGCAGAATAGAGAGTCCCTCTTCAGAGGGGCAGTTGGGCAAGGCATCTTGCAGGCGGTATATGAATCCGACGTGTGGTTACCCAAGGCTCTTGAGGACGTGGGAATTCAGGGGCTTAGGAGGGACTCTTTTTGCCCTCTCCTCTTCAGGTAAGGAGGCAATTTACATGGTATTTTAGAAACACTGTAGAGTCGTGGATGGTGCAAACAATCACTCAAAAGGTTGCTGGTTAGAGTCCACCCAGAGACACCTCCAAGAAAGGCCTAGCATTCTACCTCTGACAGATCACAGCCATTGACCATCACACAGCACACAATTCCAAGTTCAGACACACCCAGGGGGTGCCCTGGGCCAGAAATGCCCTGATTCCAAACAACTGGTGCACAAGGAAAACTCACTTCCTTTGCCTCTTTTGCATTCCCCTCCACCTCCTCCTGCTCTTTGTTCTCCTTCTCCTCGCCTCCTCCATCTCTTCCTCCAGCTCTACTTCCTCCTCCTCTTCTTTCCTCCCCGTGTTCCATCTGCTCCTCCTCTTCCTCCCCCTTCGCCTTCCTCTTCCCTCTCCTCTTCTTCCTCCTCCTCTTCCTCCTTCTTTCAAACAAAGAGGAAGAAAACTTCAACTAGGCGATGGAAGACCCCAGTTTGAGCCCTCCTGCAAATCCATTCTCTAGCTCATTTCTTGCCCTGTATACATGAGAGAACAAGATCAAACCTTCAGCTAGTCTGTGGTAAACTTGAGGTTAAAATTTTTCACGTCTGCCACTGACTAGCTGAAGGTTCGAATTTGTTCCTTCATAGGGTCACGCTTAGGTTGAAACTGACTCAGTGGTACCTAAGCACAACAAATCCACTTTCATGGATCTTAGGATTGTTCCTTATCGTTGTTAGGTGCCTAGCCATAGCGACCCAGTGAATGACGGAGGAAATACTTCCTGGTCTTCTGCCATCCTCACAATTGTTCCAGTGCCTGAGCCGTTAGTGAACTGATATTTCCAAGTTTATTTCCTGGATGTCAGACAGTGATGACCTCCTACAGAGAAAGAGAATATCCAGGACATGGGCTCTGAAGTTAGAACAAGGGGTCCGCCCTAAGACTGCCTTTTGTATCTGTATGGCTGTGGGCATATGACTTCAATACCCCAAATCTGTGCTGCCTCCTCTGTTAAAAGGAAAGAAGAATATTATCTTTTATGGACGCTATAAAGATTAAATTCACTAATATTTAAAGGGCTTCATGTAAAACTCAGCCTCTATTAGATGTCAGCTATGTTTGCTAGGAAGGAAGAAAGAACCAAGTGTCTCTTGTGAGATTGTTCCGGTGTTGCTGGTGGTGGTGGGAACAAAAGTACCACTAGTCACAACTGCTTTTAAACATCGCCCCAGTACCTGCTGCTACCCCACGGTGGCACTTTCCTCATTTCATAATAGGCTCTGTCTGCACAGTCCATTCTTCCTGCACTAAAAAATGGGATCTCTCAGATTCCAAGCCTAGATAGAATTAAAGTGAGTCTGCTAACCAGAAGTAAAACAAACCAATGCTTACTGATTTTTACTCTTTTTAGCCCCCTTTTAGGATGGGGTAGCACTGTGAGGCTAGCCTAGTTTATACTTGATCTCTATGGGTCAGGATCAGAAATTCTTCCAACTCTCTGGCAATGCCATAGACCAAAAGGAGCCAACCCCATCTCTGTCAGGGATCTCGGGATCTACTTATTGAAGAGCCCAAGATTTTAAAATGCACAGTCAAATAAAAACAAAACAGAACATCTAGCAGCCACCTGGCTATTGGGTTTGTGTCTTGGAAGAAACCTCGGCAATCAGAGTGACTAAGAGTTAGTACTTTGGAATCCTATTGCCTGGTTGAATCCTGTTTCGGAATCTATGTGGCTCTGGTCAAATTACTTTTCTGCTTTTTTTGTTTGTATGCTCTATCTATCTGTCTATCTGTCATCATCATCATCTATCTAAAATTGCTCCCTGTTTCAAAGCTGCAGTCTAGCTGTCTGTAAACTGGAACAGTAGCACCAGTCATACAGGGTGTTGAGAGGATACGATAGGACATGCATGGAGAGAACATGTAGTAAGCGTCTTCATGTTCGCGATTGTGGCCATTCAGATCCTCCCGAGGCACATCAGAAGGACAGCCTGCCGATCGGCTTCCACGCCATTGGAAGCCCTCTGAAGTGCAGTGCTCGGACACACATGGAGCCACTCTGAGTCAACAGTGGTTCAGCGGCATCCGTGTTATTATTAGTTATTGGTATGATTACATTTTTAAAGCTAAGGGCCAAGAATGGAAAACTGCCCTCTCTTTTACCAGCCAAAGAGAACTGATAAGTCACCTGAGATCTGGACTTGCCTCTTTAAAATAACGCTTTAGAAAACGAACTGCAATTCCAGATCAAAGCTGTGACACCCTGGGAAGTGTGTCCGTGAGGAGGGCAGGCACCCACGCTTCTGCTCCTGGCTCTATCCTAAACTAGCCATAGGATGCTGGGCATCACTTCCTCTCTCGTGACCCAAGCGCTCTCATTTACACTATGAAAAGATTACAGCTCACAGCTAGTGTTTCTTCGGGTCCCCAAAGCCTTTGTACCCTGGATGGAGAACTGTTTCACTCAGAGTCCAGCCAGAGAAACACAAACCAAGAGGGAATTTCATGCGTAAAAATGGTGAGTCAGATGATGGAAGAGCAGCAAAGGGCACAGGGAGCGGTGAAGCAAGCCAGTGATCAGCAAAACCGAAGCCGCCACCATTATGAGGCAGGCCAGGCAAGGGAAGGGAGTGGCGGTCCGGAGTCCAGGAGCAGTGGACACCAGGAGATGTGGGGGCCATGGACGCCTGACCACAAAGCGGAAGTGACAGAGGAGACAGAGTCACTGCTGGGGACACGACACCTTTCCTCAGCCCTCGGCTCTCCTGGCAGGATCCCCTCTGGCTCTCTGGGACTCCCAGGACCACAGACTGTAAGAACAGCACTTCAAAGCCAAGCAGGCGTGATCAGAAAACAAACAGGCCCAAGACCCTACAGGCTGCAGTCCCAGACCTCATTGGCCTGTTGCTGGACTTGAACTACTGTGACAACCAACCACAAAATACCATCTGAAAGAATCTTACTCTGCCCCCTGCTACTGGACCTTTGTAATAGCAAAAGCTCATAAGTGGAACTGAGGAGAATTTGTTCCAAATTAGCATTTGGAAAATTAATGAGAACAACTTAGAAAGTTGTTAGAGTGTTCCTCAGAATGAGGAACAGGGGTGTCTGTGGCTCCCCAGATCCCTTTGGATGAAAAGGCCTGCTTGCTGACCCGGCATTGCCCACAGCATCTGGGTGTTGGTGTCTGAAGATACCCTACTTTTCTTCCCTCACCTGCTAATGCCTGCATGACTCTGAGTAGACCCCCTCCGTCGGAAGTGTTCCCTGAGCTCCGACACGGGAGTGAGCTGCCCCTTGTCCCACAGGGTGCTTCCAGTCATGCACGGAGAGGGAGGAACCCACGGAGCTCACGGCACGAGCTGTTGATGTTGCAGTATTCTGGGTTCAAGACCCAGGTTTCCTGGTGTGACCTTTGACAAGTCATTCAACCTTGAAGCTACTCATCAGAGTTCATCTAAAATGAGACAATGCGAGTCAGTAGTTAGCATCAAGTCACGTGTTTACTGAGCACAAAACAATGGGTAGTTCCTGCTTCGCTGGCTTTGGCTCCAATTGCTATGATTATTACAAGGTTGGGTGCTATGCAGGGAGGAGGGTAAGGCAAACAGAACAGGTTTCCTCGTCTTCTCATGGCACACAAGTGTGTGATTTTGGTTTCTTTTTGAGCGTGGCCCACACATGGGACTCTTTCTCAAGGTTGTTAGGTTAAACAAAATAAACAAACAAACAAAAATTCTTTGATGCTTGTTTCTCATTTCCTCCCTCTATTTATGAATCTTTTTCAAGAGGATTTTGTTTTGTTTGTCTTTCCCGTAGGAGTGATTGGAGCAGATGTGAGGGGGCACGGCCTGGTCTGTGAGGGGCAGCCCATGACATCACGGCTGGCTGTCATCTGTGGAACATCTTCTTGTCACATGGGGGTGAGTCTGCTGGGCACAGAGGCAAGGCCACCGCGCAGGGTAGGCGGGGCAGCCTGGGATGAGGGGCTGAGCTGCTGGCTCCCTAAGCCCTCAGCCTTGGCTTTCTTTTTCCTTCCTGCCTGCTTCTGGTTTCTTCAGCTAAAAGCGCAGCCCTTTCTCCAACAACCTCACTTAGATTTTCCTGATCTTTTCTTGATGCCAAAGTTTAAAGACGTGTGGAAACGTTTGTGTCTCTGCTTCTGACATCACCCCGGCCAGATAGCTCAGCCATTAGGGGCCAGATCGGATCCAAAGATGGCAAAGCCCCTTGCCCAAGACTGATCGGTCTTCTCTGCAAAGGGGTGTCTGTTTCCCCTGGCCTCTGAGCTCTCTCTCAATCAATATAACTCCATCTCCCTGGAGCGTCTTGATGGTCTATAGAATTAGGCTGCATATCATGACTTCAAAAGAACACTGATAAGCAATTTTCACTGTGTTAATTTTGCTCCATGAATTAGTAGGGAAGGCTTTCTCCAAGATTGCAGTTAAAATTTAGTGCCTGCCCTAAAATTTATATCTCCTTTAAATGCATGAGTCTGAAAGCATTCCATTTCGATAAGTACCCATTTCTACCATATTTTTATTTAAAAGTCATTACTCTGTTCAACTTAGATGGACGATTCCTTGGATTTTTCCCAGACAAGTAAAATAGGGAGAGGAGAGTGGGGGAGACCGAGGAAATTAATTGGGGGGCGTGGCGGGGGCGGGAGAAGGGGCAGAAGAGCAGGGAGAGCAGTGGGATCTAGGCCAGGACAAGCCCACTCCAACCTGGAGGCGGTCACGTGCAATGTGGGACTGCGCGTAGTGACCTCAGGGACCCCTGGGCCTCGTCCCCCTGCAGTATTTTGTTCCAGCGCTTCCATTCCCATATTTGCTGAGCGAGCCCCGCTCTTGTGCCAGATGTTGTGCCCAGCTCCGGGGTTTTAGGGTTCTGACAGATACTGCGGTCCGGCATGAGAGTCCCTGGGATTTGGACTGAAGTTGAGATGGTGGTTGTTGTTGCCGTCACGTCAGCTCCTTCTCGTGGGGAGCTTGTGTGCAGCAGAAGGAAACGGCTGCTGCTTCTTCATGCCCCATCATTACGATTGCCCCCTCGCTCACTCGCTTCCTCACGCACACCCTTCCTCCCTCGCTCATTGCCATCCGTTGATGCCAACTCATAGTGACTCTGTAGGAAAACCTTCCCTGGAGTAGAAAGCCTCATCTTTCTACTGGTGGTTTCAATCCGCTGCCCTTGCGTTTAGCAACCTGAAGTGTAACTCCCTGAGTCATCAGTCGTATGTTTGGATCCCCCAGTGTGGCTATTGGAGCGTTTCCCTCCTTCTCATCGGTAGAGCTCATGATCCAGAGTACCTGTTATGTGGCTGCCATGCCGTGAGCCATTCTCACACACAAGACCCCACTTAACAGAGATGAGGGAGCCAGCCCAGTTGAGTGCCAATCCCAGGTCCATGGGCTAGTGCCTTGGGTTCCATGGGCTTCAGGGTCCCCAGGTTCCTCACTCTCGGACTCATAGTGTCAGGAATCACGAAGGTGCATGGTGAGCCCTACGAAAGCCGAAAAATGGGTAGAGCAGAAACCTGTCAGAGAAGGAAAATGCAACTATGTTGCACTAATGCAGGTGACACAAAGGTGCTTAAGACTGAAAACCTTCAAAACCCAGAAAGGCGAGGCAATCGTGAGCTCCGACGATCACAGGTTTCACTGTAATGTATATGAAGTGCTTCAAGTGTTCCTGACATGCATGAACACTTCACTAGGGTGATCTATTTACAGCTAGTAGTAGCCTGTTGAATAGCAGAAAGGCTATAGAACTCAATTGTCCTGCTGGAGGGTGGGGACAGGATTTCTTCCTCGGGTGACATGTGCTTGCATTTACTGAAAAAGTTCAACAAACCAAATAGTTGCCTTTTATTCATTTCTTTGGGGTTCTGGGAAAAGTCCTACTTGGAACTTCTCTAAGTTTAATAAGCCAGCACGATTCTCTCCCCGGAGTTAACAGGTGATGAGGGATAGCCATCTTTGAATGGAGAGGTCCACAGAGCCTCAAGCCACCTCCATCCATGGTCCAAGAAATGTCAACAGCTTTCATACCCTTGACATAGGCTGTACTTTTGTTAGTGTGCCGCCGGGGCACATAGATTTGAATCTGTGAATTCACATCCACTTTTCACAGGGACACATCTAGCCTGGTTTCCAGGGGCCTCTGTGAAGCCTGCATGTTAGACTCCACTCAGGTTTCTGAGCAGCCGCGAACCCCATGAGGGTGAGTGCCCAGCTCCTTCACTGTGTGCCTTCTGCTGGTTCGCCCTTGGGTATGTGAGGAAAAGACTGAACTTTCCTCCAGTGTATATCTCAAAGGAGGGAACCAAGACACAGGAAAGCCCAGTACATTCCCCAATTCAAATCTCGCTCTGCAATACTGAAGCCCTCCATTGCCTTGCTGGACTGTACATGTTTATAGTGCTTCCCTAGAAGGTAGAGGAGTCTGGGCTTCCAGGTCACCCACATGATTGACTCTGACCTGAGACGAGGGGTCTAAACTCTCTGAACCTCAGCTTCCTCCCCCATCAGATGGAGGTGAGGAAGCCAGCCTCACAGGTTGGTGTGTGTGTGGGAGTGAGGGGGTGGGGTGGGGGCAGCATTTGTTCCGTGCATGTGGAGGGGCCTAATGTATCAAGGGCACTCAAAAATGGTGGGTGTTCTTGGTAAACATTTCTAGTGACAGAAACAACTCCTATGGAGACACAGTTTGGCTTATAAAGAGTTTGATGGGCAGCTGCAGTTGGTGGAATGTGAATGAGCCATGAAATGCCAGTGTATTGTGGTCATATTGTGCTGGAAATACAGTCCCCACCCCCTGCCCCTTTGTACTCAGGAGTGGGAAGGGACCTTCTGGGCCAAGGGGATTAATCATCAGCTTTAATGTTATGTCATGAGGGGGCGAGACTGTGGTCATGTTGGCATCAAACAGCTCCTTTGATCTCCCTCAGGTGCTGGGAGCCCTGCAGGCCAGCAACAATAACACCTTTGTGAGGTCCGAGAAAGGTGCAGGTCTGAGGAAACACTCCCAGGGAAGCTCAAGGACCCCCTTTGTTGTGGTTCTGGCAAATTCAACTGCCAACTCTCAGGAAACATTCACCAGACAGAGCACAGGGACTGAATTTTCCAGAAAGTGGTTTCAACCCCATCTGAAGGATTCTCTTTCTGCCTGTTAGTCCTGATGTTTGCAACTCAGGACAGCAGGGAGACAAAATCCCTAGGACCATTTGGAGCTCAACCAAAGTTGCTCCTTTCTAGATCATCTACATTAAATGAATGAATGACCACTCCAATTAAATATACGAACAGCCACAAAGGTGAAGATTGGCCAATACTCCAATTCCTATGACTTCCTGTTACCTTGGAGGGAAAGTCTGAGGTTGAACATAAGGCTTACGAATCAGGCCTTTGATATTTCAGGAGATACCAGTGTGGGCTGAACATTTTTTTTCCTTGCGGATGATTTAATTAAAAAGGCAGAAAAAAAATTACTATTTTTTTTTGACTCCATGAAAACAGAGCTGCTTGTTCAGAGTTAATTAATACAAGTCACCAAAACCCAAGATAATACACATTAGAGGTTAGGCAGAGGTTGAAAAGTCATGGGGTCAGCATGGAGCTAATTCTTGCCCGCTCTTCAGCACCCCTCCTCCGGAGCTGTCGGGGCTGGTTGTAACTTGGCAACATCTCTTCCAGTTGCAGTGGCACCTGGGAAAAAGCCCTGGAGAGGGAGGAAGTGTTGAAAGGTATTGAATATAGCAAAAGTATTGAATATAGCAATCGCCTATGAGAGCTAGGAATTACAGCTGCAACTGAAATTGCCTAGAACTGACCTTTTCTGAAGGACTGATATGAATTTGGGAGTGGTCCTTCTCTGCACCTGAGTGGAGTCAAGTCTCAAAAACATAGGCATGTACGGTGGCTACACTATTCCCTAAGACTCCCTATTTCTGTGAATTTTGGGAAGATACTTGGTCTTTGTTTATATGTTCACTGAGAGAGCAATAGTATTTATCTATATAATTTTGTCTGCCTTGGGAAGAAGTAAGCCAGAGTGCTCTTTAGAGGTCAGGATAATGAGACTTCACCTCACAGACTTTGGACATGTGATCAGAGGAGACCAGTCCCTGGAGAAGGACATCATGCTTGGTAAAGTGGAGGGGCAGCAAAAGAGGAAGTCTGTCAACAAGGTGGATGGACACTGAGCTGCAACAATGGCTCCATCATAGGCTCAATTGCGAGGATGCTGCAGGGCTGGGGCGTGTTCCTTTCCATTGTGCACTGGGCACTATGGGTCAGACCTGACTCCATGGGAACTAACAATAGCAACAGCATGCGATCCTGAGGATTCAATGAATTATTTTCTGTACACATCTGAGAATTTGGTCTCTCACAAAACACTGGATATGTTGTTATTAAAAACCATTTGTCGTAATAGGTTAGAATTTGAGATACTAAAATGAACTCAGTTTTAGCTTCAAATAGATACAGAAGGATGGACCCAGAAATACTTATGCGTACACATTATTTCCTAGTTCTGCCAGCTGAGAATCCCTAGAAACACATAGAGTCCAGTAGCTAGCACCTCCAACACACCTCCTCTACAGATACTGGTTTCTAATACCATCTTCCAATGAAGAGAAGCCAGGTTCCTTGATACAATGATTGATTGTAAGACTGAAGCAGGAAATATGCAAGATGAGTCAGAAACCTCCCGTAGTATCAGAAAGTAAGGAAATGCTCAAAAAAATAAGCGAACAGAACAAACAACGCGCCCTCCCCTGCAAAGAAGGTGATATTTTAAAGAGAACTAGGAGCTAACGGAGGGCCTTCCCAGTGGTCAAAGCTGAAACAACGTGAATGACAAAATACATAGAATTAGATTGCAACCCAGGTGGGACATGAGCATTTATGACTGT